GCTCCATGGAGATGTTGTTCGTCTGGCGAAGTCTTCCCAACCTGTTTGCCGACCTGATGACGCACCTAGCAACATCTCCCAAACGCTCCATGTGATTCTTGGCATATTTACCTCCATTCACCCCTTTACAACCATTCCATGCATGGAGTGGCATGTCAATTTTTTTGAGACGGCAGGTTGCTCGTACCGATGCCTGAAACAAACAACAAACCAAATCACATCTTGGATCATCTCGGTATATAACGACTTGAAGTCAGTCGCTTACTTGTGAGCGCTGGCTCGGCACCTAGCGTTCACTGAAAAAAACATTTCTTTCAAGGCATGTTGGATCACGAACCCTTCAACATCTCCTTCATGGAGATGCCCTAGAGGATTGGGACATCACCTACTAAACCATCTACTCCAAGAAGTAGAACGGACCTAATATGAAAGACATTTGCCACTTGTGGATTGCGGACATTGGACAATGGCTTGGCGTCATCATCTCTGTGGGGTACCATCTACTCTTCAACCACTGTAGCCCTCTAACAGCTTCCTACGCTTTTACCAAGCCTCCGGTGGTCCAGTTAGGCAAGGCTTCGTACAGCTCACCACGTGCCACACCCGCATGCAGCACCGAGCTCAAAACCGCCTTCTCGTCCTGGGCACCCCCCGGGCGAAAAGGTTGAAAAAAACACACAGTGTCAAAATGTTTCAACTCCACTGTCCTTGAAACATCTTGAAACATTTGATTGGTCTTGTGGGCCTTTTACCAAACAAGCATTCTTTTACGAAGGGTTCTGAAGGGTTGGGGTGTTGAGTCCAGCGCCAACGACCGGACTCTGCAGGGCGTTTTGCGGTTTTTCCCCACTTTGTGGACCCAGCCAGGTCTTCCGTCCCTCAGAGTTTTGGGCTCGGTGGACATCGATAGAAGCAGATTCGGACCCTTCGACTCGACTCACCCAACTCAGAGACTTCGCAGGTCGGGGGCACATGCAAATGGATCGGTGTTCATCTCCCAGTCAGCACTCAGTCAGCAAGTCGACTGGGCTAACTTGTGCCGGCCCCAATTTGCTTGGGCAACCAAGCTACATCCAGTCCAGCACCACCGGCTGAGGCAATACCCAGGTAGCAATGACGGCAGAAGGTCGCGTTCAAGCCTAGCGAAGGAGATGGAACATCCACGGAACTGCGCGCTGAAGGATCTGGATTGCACACCTAGTCCTGACCAAACCGGGGAACAACGTACTGCAAAGAATTCGTTCTTCTTCCTCCATGTTACCGCTCAAACGGACCAAGTGAGTTCATTGCTGGCCAAACAAACAACGTACTACTGCTGGACATGCCGACCACTCCACCGTCAGACGAACGCTCCAGTCTACGCGTCCGTTCGGTTCCAGAACCCCCAGACCGACGCTGCAGACTCCGTCCGACGGGTGGGGCGTCGGTGGACCCGGAGGTCTGACCGGAGCGACGAGTTCGGCCGGAACTCCTCGTTGTGACATGTACCTCTGTTCCGATCGCAGTTCCAAGTTCAGTCACGAAGTAAACATGTAGAGATCGAATCGCCCAGGTCGCCCAGGTCGCCCCTCATTGAGTCCTTCTTCTTTTCCTGAATCTAATTGATGGATCAACTCTCTAGATCTCTCTAGTCAAATGAGGTGAAAGTGACCTGAAAGGGATCCTTTACGCCACCAACTCCACCTCCAAGGGGTCCTTTTCCATCCGCCTCCCCATCCGGACACCCACGTCGACCGTGGATGGAACATCGGAAACGCCTTGCGACAGCTCCGAGAGGGTCAGGAAGCCGAAGCCCCTGGGGGTCGCCTCGAGTGCGGAAAACGCGGCGAGCGAGTGGGAGTGGCGCGGTGCGCACCTGGGGGTCGCCCGGAAAAGCAGCTTCGAACATGAAGAAAACCACTGACAGTCAGAAGATCAGGACATCTGGGCCAAACATGGCCAAACCATCCACTGTTTGTCTATTGTTTCATCTGTTCTCCAGCCTGTGAAAATTGAAGTAAACACCCGATCCGCTCAAACCCTAACGTTCGGCGATGGTCGGCCGGGGGCTTGATGGCTGTGCGTTCTTGAAGTAGAAGCCCTTCCAGAAAACTCCACAATACTCTCCACAATATGACACACCAAAATCCAGGGTCAAATGTGAGATTTCGAAGTATTACCAAGGATCAAACGAACCAACCTTCGATGGATAGGCTGCAATGAGCCTTGAAGAATAGCAACAGTTAACATGCTCAAAAGAATGATGCCGACTGATGCAATCAGTAGTATTGCATCCATGATGCATCCATGCATATCTTGCATGTGTTCTCAAGCAAGGTCTTCTTCAGTTTGACTCTATAGGACCCACACACGGGGCTCGCAACGCATCTCAGGACGTACATCACTGTACATGGAAGTGGAGTTCACCACCTGTCAGTGTGGTCCAATTTCTTATGCTCCCAGGTCATGAAAAACGGGCCATGCCATCCAAACATCATGTCATGGTCATCGTGGTTTCTTCGACCCCTTTGTCCCGGCTGTTGGGCGGGCGGTTGGGCGGGCTGGTGTGCCGGGGCCTGTCCGGTGGAGACGACCAACCCACACCTCACAAAGCCACGTCGGTAGCCCAGCTGCATAGAGATAGGCATAGTCCTTCACCTTAGCGCTCGCTGACTAGCTCGAAACGGAGTTTTGGCCAGGTGCATGGTTTCTCATCTTGGGGGCAAATTGCTTTGGTGCCGGTTTAGCAGGGCTTCAATGGGCTCAGCAAGGCCGGTGAAGCCTTCTGGTTGCCATTGGTTACCTCACAAATGGCAGGTGGCGGTTGGCCATTCAGGCCGGTTTCTTCTGGAAAGTGCATGACTCTCAACGCTTCATAGTGCCTGGCACTAGCGTCTAGGGCTGGGAAGATCAAGCAAACCCTCAATCGTAAAGGCCGGTCTCTAAAATAGTGATAATTGTTTACCGACTGTTACAGGTACTAGGACCCCCCAATGTATACAGCAATTATGAGCCACCACGGTGTGAAATCAGATCAGCATAAGACGTCTTCTACCACCTGGAGCTGGTGCAAACCTGTGCTGAGCCGCTCTGTTGCTCTTCAACGCCCAAAAGTTGGCCAGTCCAAGTGACACCATCCTTCACCAAGTTCAGCGGGCATTCCTCACGCAACTCCTGTGGAACGAAGATAAACATACCAGGAGTCACATGTCGGGGTGGTATGGCTCGTCCCACCCAGTGAGTGGATGTTCTGGGAACCCCTAGCCTTCATTAAGCACCCCTTTGTGACTGCTGGTATACAAAAACATGAACTCGTTGAACATGTTGTTGACTCCCTTGGAACTACACACAGTGTCGGGCAAGTAGTTGAACGTGAAATTGGCCATGCTTATCCATGCTTCGTATTATCGAACCTTGATTTATAAAGCCCACACACTCATTCGGATGTTGAAAAACAATCCAGATTACACTATATAAAGTTTCCGCTGTACAGACTAACATGACAGTGAACATGAACCCCTGTAAGGCTAGTCTCATCTACCCACCTGGTGGTTTTCAAGGTCCATGTTGCTCCGTCGCCTGCAGCCCATCTCAATCACACCACCGTCCCGTCTCATCACGGCGACGGGTGCGCCGCGCCTGGTATCCGGTGAGCGTACGGTCCACGTCGAAAGCACAAAGGCAAGGCCGGTCCACGCCGGGCTTGGTGGAACGGTTCCTGGGCGGGTGGAGTTCGAAGTGTCTCTCGGGCTGTTGAGCCTGCGCGGATGGTTTCAGGTGGATGGATCCGGGTTGAAACAAGCACGCAGTTGTTTAGATGTTTGATCTTGCAGACCACCAGTCCTCCAATCCAGCACTTCAGTCGTCATCAAATCCATGAAACCACAAGGGCAACTAAGGAGAAAACTATGACAACCAACACAACTTGCTCAAATAAACCAATTGGGCTTGGGCAAAATCCTTCGTCTTTGAACATGAACTGGCTGCCCTGGCCATTCTTGCAAATGGAAAATTCCTTCACACAATGTCACAAGATCAATCTTTCCACCACCAGCTGAGCTACTCGAGGCTCCGGTTTTGACATTGCGGGCTCCCCAGCACTGGCGGAAGCTCCAGAACGAGGGCCGCCACTGTCAGGAGGAACATGGCAACGGTGCGGAGTTAGTTGGATCGGTGCGGTGGAATGTTCCCAACTCCCTGCGCCGGCGAAGGAGCCGCGCTGGCGAAGAGCAGGTGGCAGCTGACCTCCCTGAGCCCAGCTCCATCGGAGGCATGTGTGTGGTCATGAAGGTTGGTGAAACCGATCGGACCACACACTGTCACACACTGAAAATCCTGCCGCAAAACGCATCTCCTCGGGGCGAAGACGAATACCATTCCCCACGTGGACTCCAACAACCCTTGGCCGGTTTTCAGCAGTGAGTGTTTTCCAAATGGGAACATGTGTGTCTTCATGATGATGGCTATATCTCTGGAGGGTGTTGGCATGTTGGCATGTGTTGCCTGACTGACTGACTGGGACCGGCTAGCCGGTGGTCACCCACCCAATCCGTCCCAGGGCTTCCATCGCCATCGCGATGCTAAGCGAAAAGGGAAGAACTGGAGACTCCCTGGGCCCCTGGAGGCGAGCCTTCCTGGGCCCACCAGCTACGCCAGTTCTTCTCCTACTTTAAGCAAGCATTCCCCTTGCCCAAAGCTTCTCTGCTCAAAGAAGGGGAAAGCTTCCTTGCTCACCAGCTTCTTTATTCTACACCAGTTCTTCTTTCAGCAAGGCAGCTTTCCCCTTCTCAGAATTTTGCTCGCTGGCATCGTTGGCGCAGCAGCAATGGAAAGGATCCACGTCCACACGAAAGAAGATTCCAAACCCAATCCTCCCCTAATAAAAAGAATAAAGCAACACAGAAATTGAACATAGAGAGTGTTCGAAACATCTTCTCCATGCGCAATTCGTGCTCCTCCCCTAGTGAAGTTCCGAGAGGCGCCGCGGTCGACTGCCGCCCGTCACCACTACCGACCCCGTCCTGGACCGGAAGACCTCAGGAGTGGCGGAGTCTGTTCTCGCGAAGGGACCGAAGACTGGTTCGGGCGAGTTCTCTGCATGGCGATAGTTCACTCTGCATACGCCCTCTGCCAATCTGGGAGACCAGTCTGCCGGTCAATTAGTGAGGGTTCTGGGGCTGTGATCGGGGTAGCTGAATGGCAACAAAGTTGTCATCGATCGCTCTCAGGCCGTAGAAGAATGAGCCACGTGGAAGTTCATCGTTGTGGATAATCTTTGCAACTGCGCCCGTCGGCAAACACTCATGGTACAATGTGCTCCATTTGCCGTCCTGGCCCTGCCAGCCTCCTACAAGCTGCATCCAGCGAGCACTGAGCCCGCGGCGATTTATGTAATGTGAATACCCCGCCGAGAGATCCGCGCGTAAGCCATGATCTCGTCCTCGAACATTGGCACCAGCTCGGCAGCGATGGCGGCTTTGTGGTACAGATCATTGCTGGGACTCAACCTGCGCACGTCCGTGCTGATCAGCAAGTAGCCGACCAACTGCGAGTTGCAGGTAGCAGCTCTGGCTGTCGCCCTTGGGTTAGGCATCGCCGTGTATCCCCGAGTCATTCTTTTGCAGCAACTCAGTCCAAGACATTTCGGGCGGCCCTGTTCCTCTCCTTTGGAGGTGATCGTGGCACCAACGTCTCGCGGCCTTTGGTCCTGGTCCTTGCCTGCACGGGTCCTTGGCGCTAATTCTGCGGGGCCGTAGCCATGTCACATCCGTTCAGCACAATGCCAAGGACAGCCACACAGCTGGCGCTTAATTGCACAACCCTCTTGATCTCTGTGCCTTGTCCATGACCTCCATCAGGGAGAGCACACACAGGTGCTCCATTCCGATATGGACAATTGTAGTGAGTCCTCGAAGTACTCATCGCGACAGGTCAAGTATATGTGACCTGAACATTAACAGTGTTGGTCACGCGTGACCTTCGGATGGAAGCAAGATCATGCGGAGTGCCGGCCGGATATCCTGAACCGCGGAGTCTTCAAAGAGCGAAGGCGCTACAGTACGTAGTTTCTCGAAAAACATTGTTACTGACTGTGCCGCACTTCATTAGCACCACCCGTATGCCATTCCGAGTCCGAGTCTTTCATTGGCAACCAATGCTCCAAGAGGGGTGGGCTCGGGGGTGTGACATTCTAAGCAGCCTTGACATACACCAGGTTGCTCTCATCTACACTCTGACTCACTAACATGGAAGTGGAGAATGGCCCCTTGGGAAGACCATTTTCCACTACAAACAAGTGGGTTTGCCACTTCCATGTTAGTGAGTCGGAGTGTATCTTCTCTCCCTTTGCCACACCGCCTCCTGTACGCCGTGTGGTTCTTGGCAACGTCTCGCCCCGGGACCATGCAGGCCCCTTCCAGCAGCTGCCTTTTGGTCAAGCTGCCTTCTCTGCAGCTTATCTCAGCTGCTTTTTTGGAAACGGCGTATGTACATGTGCATCAGCTGGAGTACAAACTACTCCAGTGCCTGCTTTGCTCTCATTTGTCGGGGTGGAATTGCTGTTTGTCTGACTCTCTGCTCTCTTTGCTCCTTCTCTTTTGTCGCTTTTCTGCCTTTGCTTCTCTGACTTGCTTTGCTTGTCTTGCTCCTTGTGCGTCACTGGCTTTTGGATATGCATGCTTATATAAGCGCATACGTTGGCTTGGCGTGTGTGCAGTTTTGGAAGGCAAAGTTCAGCGATCTCTAGACTGAAGTCGGTGACGACTTTGTAATCACAGAGGCGACAAAAAAGAGGTTGTCGTTCCATGTGGAGGGCTTTCGTGTGAAGGGCTTTCGCTTCAGCATTCTCAGTGAGGAGAGCTTGACACCGGGAGCTTGGAGTTTCGGCGGCTGAGTGTTGGCAGCTGGAAGAGCTGTGAATGAACCACCAACTGGTGGCTGCTTCACCGTCAATGAGGTCACCAACCAAGCTGACTTGCAAGTTTTCTTGTGCCAGGCGGTAATAGTGGTGATGATGTCAGCTTGACACACGAGGTTAGGAAAAAGGAACCTAATTTGGATGTAGACTTGGTGGAAAAATGTAGCAAAATGATTTGTAGCAGTTCCACCCAAACATTTGCGGAACAAAATCCTTAGATTAGATTGGAATTTGGCTGACCGTATGGCTCTGCCGTTTGGCATTGCGTTGTCTTGTCTAACTGTATCTGGCTCACTGGCACCGGCTGGTGAGATGCGATGACAGGAGGGAGAGAACAGCGTCAACGGGCTTGTGCCCAAACGTTCAGGACGGTGCAAGGCAAATGGTGTTTTTCAAACCTGTTGACTCAAACTGGTCAAATACAAACCATTTTTGGTAGCTTCAAGAGTGACTTTGACTTCATGGCCCAAATGTTTGTCATCAGAGAGTCGGAATCAGAACATAGCACAGGGAAACTCCAAACAGCCACTATGGCATCAGCAAGTGGCAGTCCAACTGCCATGACATTGTCTCATCTACACTAGGCTGACCTGTCAAGCATACTCACTGTTTGGGAGATTTCAATTTCTGACATTGGCTATTTTGTTGCAGCAAAGATGCCATTTGGCGCTGATTCAGCTTTGAACTTTGGACAAAGAAAAACAATTGAATTGAGACCCAGTCTCAGCACTGGATATTGAGTACTTTGGAGATGAACGGACTAAGTCTAAGTTGACCATAGCTACCACTAGCTATAGTGCTTCATAGACTCATAAGACAGAATTCGTTTGGGCCACGTGATTCCTCGCAACTGCTGCTGGGAATGGCAACCTATCAGCAATATTCAGCAATTGGTTTGGACTTCCTCCTGGTGTTGGTGATGGTGGTGGTGGTGATGATGAGGGTGATGGTGGTAGTGGTGGTGGTGGTGATGGTGGTGATGATGGTCGATGGCGATGGCCAGGCGATGGTGGTGGTGGTGGTGATGATGGTGATGATGATGTTGATGGTGGTGATGGTGTTGGTGAAGGTGGTTTATGGAATTTCAGAAGGCAGGTGCAGGCTTAGAATTGATTTTCTGGGCCTATAGAGTAAAGGGAGATGTAAGAGCACACATATGAGCGCACATGTGCTACTCCTCCCACGAAATCTACACTTCAAGGTCCACCAAGTACTGCGGCTGCCACGAAATCTGCACCTCAATTGTCCACAAAGTACCGCGCTTGCCACGAAACCTGCACTTCAAATCACAAAGTGCCGCTATAAAACCACTCCGACCGCCAAATAAACAAGTCCGAAAATGCGCACGGCACCAGAACGAGAGCGCAGTCTCCGTCGAAGATCTCGAGGTGAACGAATGTAATTACTGCAAATAGCAGCAGCGGACGCCCCGATGAGCACCTCGATCAAACACCCGTCCTTAACCCTTAGTGTGGACACACTGTTTGGGGAAGCAACGTGTTTTTTCTCCGAGAAAACAAGCAAAAGAAAACGGCAGCGCTCTTTCTTGCGCTTCTTGCCATTCTGCGTTCGCCGACGCCATCAAAGAAACGGACACCATATAAACAAAACAAAACATCAACCCAGCGACACCATCTACATTATATACATGTACATATTTGGGGGTTCTCTATGCACTGCTTAAAAGAGAAAACACCGTGCATACGACCAACCCATCTAAGGCTGCTGTGGCTGCAACATGATGCAACCACACACCATACAACTGCCAACGTATGAGCAATTTTGCATCAGGTCATTGTTCGATACTTGCACATCGACCACCACACCTGGCTTGTACTCAGCATCATGCCTCCATCCTTTCAGCATCCCAAAGCAAGGAACACCACAATTCGATGGTCGGATTTCCCAGCTACATCAATTCCGCCATCGTCGTTCAGAAAAAAAGACGACGTGGGGGGAGGGGTCGTGTCGTCGTTCCACCGCATCACTGAACCATACCCCAAACACTCCATTGTATGGGTATATTTACCTACATTGGGGTGGTTTTTGGGGGGTCAAAGTAGGCATTTATGGCATACATGGAGTGTCTGGGATACTAAACCTCGTTGGGGTCGAAGTCGCAGACCGCCCGCAGTCGACTTCGCTAGGCTTCCCCGCGCCACCGTGGCCCGCGGCGCCACCATGGTGGGTCGCGGTGCGGCCACCGTGGGCCGCGGCGCAGCGCCGCGGGGAGAGGCCTTGGAACATGAACACACTGCTGGTCGATGGAGGTGCGGTATGGTGCGGTGTTGGGCAGTGAAAGGCCCAAATGGTCATCCAAAGTCCATTACGGTTGATCAAAATCATTCTTGCACTTCTTTTCCTATAGTGTTGAAGGAAAGCAAATACTAGCAGCACTACTTGCAGCACAATGGCAAACAAGCAGAAACTTTGATCTCTGAGTTCGTGCAGGGAGTCTTCCTTGAACCCCTACGGTCACAGGCCTAAAGTGGCTGCGTCGTCATCTTTATTGGGACATGTCAACGTGGGTTTGGCCGAAGGTCCTTCTGAGATCCATAAACTCTAGCCGCTGGGAATGCGAATAAACAATTCTGAGGGGTGTGTACCTGAATCTTCCAACGACCAAGAGTTCCTGCCTTTTGGCCGGTTTCATGGATGACAAGGCAAACCTGTTGCATAGATCTGCATAGTTGGAAGATGTGGGTAGCCATACCAAGAGCTGTATAGTTTCAGCCCCTCAAGCCGTGGGCCTAGATCCATGATCCACAGGGTGGGGCTGAAGAAAGAGGACGGCTCTCGTGCTGCTGAGCAGCTGGTTCCTTGCTTGGTGCGCCTGGAGCTGCAACGGATTGGAGCGCACCATTTTCTTCCTAGTCAGCGATCTTGGGATTTCCCTAAATTTTTGAGGACCAGAAGCACAGTTCATCATTTCAGGGTCCAGAATGGGTTGTTGAGATCCTGCAATCCAAAGAATGAAATGTATAAATTATCAATGTGCCTAATTTATATAGTTCATTTAAAGCTACATGATGTGGATTTCAATCTTAAATGCTTGACACAAAAGTCACCTCTAGGGTGATCCGTGGGCGTCTTGTGATCGATTTGTGGATGGCCAAAGTGTCAAAAGGGCCCCAGTGGGGTCACTAGAACAGATTTCACCACAGGGCATATCGTGTAGCGCGCTGATGGTGTACTGTATAGTCACTTGTACCACTGCCCAGGCTGAGGTTAGTTTCTGCGAACAAGAAGTGAGCTATCCTAGAGGGTGGGCATGACTAAACCCTGGAAACCGGGTGGTGTTTAGATTCTTTTGAGCCCATTGTCTGCGAGTTGGTTGGTGTTGCAGAAAATGCGAGTCTGAACTGTTTGCAGCATCGCTCGCCTCATTAAGGTTGTTGTTGGGGCAGTAGGTTCAAGAACACACAAATAACTTGCATGTGTGAATTACCGGAACACCGCACGAGACCTTCAATATGTTTGGACACACTTCAGCTATCGAATGCCCCGTACCATATCTTACATGCACATGGACCCTGCAAATCTTCTAGAAGGCAAATCTTTTGAAATACCCCTGGTCGCACACCAGGTCGACCCTATCACCATCACTCCCTCCAGTCACTGAGTCGCTAGCGACTTGGGTTCCCCCAGTGACGCGAGTCGAACCGCCGGCCACGAAGCAACCCGTGGCTCCAAGGGGCCTTTGTCGACACGTGCCCACACACCCTGGCGATGCGGCCCAAGCTGCTGCTTTAGGGAACCGGTAGGTAGTGAAAGTGCATGGTGGAGCTGTGGTGAGGAGTGATTTTGGATTGACCATTGACGGGTGATTTGGCAAACCTTAGCAAATTGAATTCAGCCTCGAATAGGTTGAGATTAGGTAGAGCAACTTCCATGAGGTGGTCAACCAGTTTCGGTAGGGCTACCCCACATACCCCACACTCCTAGATTGGTCATTCTATATGGCATTGCTTGGATGGTCAGTGGAATTGCATGGTTGGGCCATCACTAAGTCACTAAACAAACAGGACTCCTCTAATCACTGATCTCCACTCCTTTAAGGCAAAAATGCCGAGGTTTCGAATCGTCATTGGTTGAAGAGATGCTTCTTGGATTTGCTTAAAGTTAGCCAGAACCAGAACTTACAGATGTTCTTCTGGATGTTGCTCCTTCTGGATGTTGGATAAGTTCGCCAGAACTTACGCCAGAACACCTGTGCGAAGCCACATGCCGAAGTCATACAGGCAGTTCATGTTTTTTGCATCGCAGAAGGGATGGGGATGCAAAACTGACCGCTGAACCCTTGTCATGCCCTTTTGGGTATGTGTCTTGCTATTACCTATACCCACTGTACTCCGGTTTCGGACCATTGGGCCCATCATCTTGTCCTCCAGTGGGGAAGGTGATCCAGCACATCCTTCCACTCTCCGGGAAAGCCCAGAGGCGGAAAAAGCGCGCCATCCGTTCTTCTATCTTCCAGAAAACACGTTCCTGAACCATTACCCCAACCGCTTCATGCGCCTGGCAATATGTATCACATGTACCTACTATATATAACACTATACTTATAGTCGGATGCTTGACTGGGGGTAAAACGGGGCCGGCATAAATATCTTCCGCACATGGAGTATCTGGGTGATACGCGCCACGAGGGGCGCTTCAGAGCAGCGCACGGAGCGCCTCGATCGCTGCCAGCACTTGCCTGGAAGCGAAGTCGCATGAGGTCGCGGGCCCCCTCTCCTGGCCCTGGAGGGTGCTTTTCTGGAAAGTGGTCCCACTCTCACCACCAAATATGAACTACATCTCACTCAAATCCATTCTAGAACGACTACATCTCACTATGGATCACAGCTTTTTTCTTGGTCCATGTCCCTCGTCCCTCGACGGACCGAGACGTTTCGACGTAGGGTGAAGGATCTCACAGCTGGGTGGCCCCCTGTCTCGGGCGACGGACTGGACGTCCGTCTGAAGGGTCCGTACCGGACACGGTATGGCATAAGCCCAAAGAATGGGGCTGGCAGGGCTGGCAGTCCTGTGTTCCTACATTCACCCAAGCTGATATATTACGCCACCCCAATGATATGGCAGCCAGATGAAATATGGGCAAATACATGGAGTGTCTGGGTAAAGACATTGAAGGAGAAGATCCTGAAGGTGGAAATGAATGCCCGCCCAAACCTCGATCAAGTCATGGGAACTCGATCTAAACCTCCAGGAACTGATGTGGCTAGCTGCTGAAAACTGAAATCACCCTTCGGGCACTCATGGCGTTGTTCCTGCAGTTTCCATAGAACCAGGACCGGTTGCTGAGACCTATCATTACTATCATCCAGCTATAGTTACAGGCTCAGAATATGATCCCTGATGCTAAAGTTAGAAGAAGCACCTGTTCAAACACTTTTTGTGTTCCAAAGCATCTTAAGCTTGCCTCCAAAGAGAGGCAAACCTCGGATTCCATGGCTCAAAAATGTTCAACACAGTGGCTTCACTGAAAACCGATGAACATTGCATACATATATATATATATATTAGAATGATAATATCGTGTGTGTATACCTAGCGCTCTCCCTCTCTGTCCCTTTCTCTTTCTCTTTCTCTGTGTCTCTCTCTCTCTCTCTCCCTCTCTCTCCCTCTCTCTCTTTTGACAATGGAGCCAGTGTGGGCGGTGGTTGCTGTTCCACTCCTCAAGCCACCAAAGACCCTGGGCCCGTTGTCTGCAGCCCAAGGGACTTCTTTTTCATCTCTTGCTCCTCTCGCTGTCAGGCTGGGCCGGTTTGTCCGAACACTTTTAGGTAGAACGTGCTCTGACTCCACAAGGAAAGCTGCAGCCTTTCTTGAACAATGCACAGGTGTCCCCCCTTATCCAATCCCACCTGCGTTTGCTGAAACCCATGCAGCTTCTTGTTTCTTGTCACTCGCCTGTCGGCCAACCTCCTCCCAACCTTGCAGAAACTCTTGGTTTTGAACCTACCCCAGCTCCAAAACTCAAGAGACCTCCCAACCATTTCCCCCAAAAACCTCTCCCTCCACCCAACACTCTCTCCTGCAATTCCTTCTCCAACTTGCCCTCCAGCTTCCGCGTCTTCGCGGCATTCTCTCGCCTCCGCTCCGCTCCGACACCGGGAGAACGGACGTCTACCGATGGAATCGTCGAAACGACCTCTTCTCCGCTCCCGTTGCAAGTCGACGTAGACTCGGGGAGACTCGGGGAGACGTCGGTCGACGGTTGCTTCGAGCCCCTTTGGGTCGAAGCAAACGTGGTCGCTGAAGGGCGCTGGCCGGATTTTTCGCCGTGACACCAACAGAGAAACAGACACCATAAGCAAAATAGACCATCAACCCAGCGACACCATCAACATGACACTCGGATTTATGATTTGGATGGTCTTATTGCTGCTCACCAGCGACCAGCGGGTGGAGAACGGGTGTGTAGCTCAAATAGGGAGGCCCTTTGGCCGCCGTGGCGCTTGCTGAGTAGACTGGTCTATTTGGCTTCTTTCACTGGGAGGTCTCCCTATTTGCCCCAAAAAGGCCTCCAACCACCTTTCTGCGAAGGTAGTTAGACCCCCGTGCCACCCACCCCAACCACCTTTTCAGGAGGTAGTTGGAGCCCTTGGCTACACACCCAACCAGATGCAACGGAACCAACCTCCAACCCCGCTCCACCTCCCGAGCCGCGCCTCGCGCGCCGTTCTGCGTCGGTCGCCGCCAGGGCGCCCTGTTGCCTCCGCACCAAGGGCGGCTGGCGTGGAAGGTCCAAAGGTTAAATATGGAGCTGTTTTAGTGTGTTAGTTTTTTTTGTTGGACATGAAAGGTCCCGTTCCATGATGTGTTCATTGATTTTCCTTCTTTCAAGGTATTAATAATGCAGCATGCAACTATATCCAATTGCGTCTGATGGTCCAGCTTCTGAAAAGAAGGTGACCTTTTTGGGAGATCAAGCCAGTGGCAGGCCTAAGTGACCAGTGAGCCCTCACACCCAACGAGATGAAATCAACTTTGGTCACTTTGAACAACCAGGGTCAGTGTTTACTGATCTCTTAGTGCCCGAACGAGTAAAACATCGCCCAGGCATGATGTCATCAGCCGTACCCACACACACCGGCGCAACATGATGTCATCTTGCACGGAAGACTGAAACATGCTGAAACCCTGTAGAATATCCATGAATATCCAAACCGCGTGGGGGCTGCCAATCTCCGGGGTCAACTATATTGCTTTCCAGTCGCAGAAATAGGAGGCACAAAAACTCGTATACATACTCTGCATGGTGTAAAGCAATTGTCCCAAAAGAACGAATGAGATATGAATTAGATTCTATAGTTGGAATTTGAACAAAAGCCAAAAAGAAGAGCAAACGTAGGTGCACCCAGCCTTTTTCCTGCAATTCATCTTCCCAACATGTTCACTGCAATCTATGGATCAAAATGGATCAAATAGATACCCCGCCCAAGTCATTCTCCGTTCTGCACACCGCGTTCCCCATCGGCCCAAAAGGGGTGTCGCGTGGGACCCCGGGAGATGCAGCTGGGTGAGCTGCCCAGGCACCGAACATGCGCCCAAGTGGCGCTGCTCGGATCTCCATTTGCCTCGGTTTCGGCGTGCGAAACTCGGCGGACCGGAGACCGATCTGAGCCCGGTCGCAAAGCAGCCAGGAAAGGTCGTTTTGGACCTGCAAACTGAACACACATCTTAATTCATCACTTAAAGGTTTGCTTCCACAGCCCAAAACGGACATGTGTCCAAAAAAGGTTGCTCTATGTTGCTCTGCTTGATTCAACGTTCTAGCCCAATTCATCTAATCTCTGCACCTGAAAATGCACGCCCCCTCCCTTCCGGACTTTCCACAAGTTTCGAAGCTTCTAAACAAATACCTCCATATATATAGAGGACACTATAAGACCATTCTACCAACTATACTCCAAAGAAAAACTCTCAACAAATTGGAAGACCCTTGCCTAAACCGGTTAGGTCTGAACCCTTCTCCCTTCTACCTATAGCCCGGAGCCTTCTTCTCTCTTTATTCGAATAAGGGCTAGGACTGTGCCTGGCGCCACCTCCGTGCCGTCGGTACCAGCTCCACAAAGACACCGAGACACGGCAACAGACCCAAAGACTACTTACCGTAAGGGTAGAAACTGCGACCCAAGTCCAGCCGAAAAATGAAAAATCAAAGGCTACTATGGCATACGTAATGGCATGCCATGGCTACGCCATATAGGTGGGTGTGTGTCCAACATAGCTTTTGGGGAGCTGAAGCTGCTTCTTCAAAGTGACCAACCTTGGGAGTTGTTTAAGTAACCTTTTGCAAGCCCAAGTAGCCGCAGCCTCAGGGGATCAAGTTTGGTCGCTTTGAAGAACGTGCTCGGGAACATTCAAGTCGATTTCGTAAGCAAAACCACCAAATGGTCATCTACCTTGAACTGGCGGCCACCCATGGCCAACCAGCTCTGTTTGACCCATAGCAAGCCACCAACCTCAAACACTCCATAAAGACTGGAATATGCACCAGGACCCCCAAGGGGTGGTTAAGGGACACTCCTTAATAGCTAAGGGGCTATAAATAGACACCCCTTGGAGGGTCCTGGCACCATTATTTCCATACAACCAGGTCGTGTTTTGGGAATCGCCAGGCGACTTTTCCTGCCAGAACTTCTCGATGATCCCATCAGGCAGGCCGTTGACCTGGCGCCAAAGGGCCACTTCACTAGGTGTTGGATGGGTTAGTTGATTGGCTATTTAAGTTTTCTAAAAAAAGAAAGAACATATATATTATATAAGCATCGTCACTCAGCTACTTCAAACGAGTATAACCACCAAGGGTTCTCAGTTGGAGCTGTGCAACATCCCGACTCAACATCCCGACTCTTCCAAGGCGCGATGGATTCTCAGCGGTCGTTCCGTGCTTGTTCTGATCAAGGGACCCCGGACAAGCTGTTTGAGCTCGGTTTTAGATGGCTGTAGGATGGGACAAAGCTGGCAAGATGGGTTTCGGTGGATTCGGTGGGCCCGACTGCCCGTGTTGTTTTTTATATATATGCCTTGGTCAACCAAGCAATGTGATCGTTGAAACCAAGTTCAGTAAGACTTGCCATGATTGGAAATTTTCCTGAAGAAACTGCCAGTGACCCTATAATATTGATGCAAGAGACTGACAAATCAAGGCTTCGACTAACCAAGTGTCAGCTGCAAAAGGAACAAACAGTCAATGGCTGGGTGCAGTGTCTGCTATCATGTTGCACATGAAGACGTGCCGGATGAAGTTCTATGTCTGACCAGCCTGATCTCCCGGATTGCTTGCATGGGGGATGAACTTGAAGTCTCACTATGGCACTATGGAACCCGCGGCCGTATAGGCTGATAGGCTGATAGCCAGGCGATTCACACAAACCACCACTTTGGCATATCAGGCATAGGGAGATGTAAACAAGGCGATCTATTTCCAAACTCTGGTCCTCAAATGATGTGTTTTCATCAACACCCTCCACCACAACTCAACGCTCCACCAGGGACTCATTCCCACCCACTGGTCGACGTGCGAAGAATTGGCCTTGATGAAATCGAGCACCTGCTCCTGCGTGCACCCATTCTGAAAGACAGAAACCAGACTCTGGAACGTCACACGTGAAACTGCCCAGCAAAGGTTGAAGAACCGCGACTATCCTGACCATCCGGTAGGGTCCTATAAGGTCACTTAACCTCTACTTGCCATTTGGCCTCGAACACTACGATTTTGAGATGTCTTCAGCCTTTCGATACCATTGTTCTGGTGTTCACGTGTGGCCCAGGGCCTACTCTTGAAGTACAGTATAGCCTAATAAGATGTTGTCTTCCCACCTTCCCCATAAAAGCAGTCCATGTCCATACATCTCCAACCTCATCATACCCGGACGGCCGCCAAACCTACGGCGCTTAAGGTCGGTTCATCACCGGGTCCAGTCTGACAGACTGGACGACTTGACGTTCCTTCGTTCGGTGAAGGCACTGTACGGTGTACGGTTCGGTTGGGTGACTGGCGGATCAATGAGTCGCACCATGGGAGCGTATGTTAAGCGGTGATATTTTTGTCTTAAGTGGTTGAACATGGTTGAACGAAGAAATGGCACAAGCTAAGCGAAGCATCAGCGAAGCAAATCGAAGCTTAACACGTTTGCAAGCCAGACATTGCCAGACCCCATCCGATCGGACGCCCTGATTCTTAAGCGGGTGTTGCCTCTGATTGTTCAAGCATTTGGACAAAAGAACAGGTCTCACGATGCACGCTCCAAAAGTGTCTGCACCGATGTTTTCATATATGCGATCACCCCCCACGCAATTCTTCATCGTGAATAACGAGCAAAAACATCCAACATGTTTCATGGTGAACTGGAACATCTCGCCCAGCAAAACCCAATATATGCATGAATTTTAAACTTTTGGTTTTTGGATGTTTTTGGTGTCCCAAACTGGAGATGCGACAGGTTGTGACGAAGTGACCGAAAAATCTCAACATCGCTGTGAGTCTCCATGTCGAGGACTAAGTCGCTGCAAACTGCTTGCCATTCTTTGCCCTGTGCCTCTCGGAGACGAGGCGAAGACGCGAGGCACGCGAGGCACGCTCCTTGTGGGGGTGGAAGCCGAGATGACTCAAATGAGATGCGGTGGATGTGACAGGCAGGATGGTCAGGGTGAGGATGGATTCAGTAAATTTAAACGTTTGATTCATTTTTTGATTCCCAAGATATTGTCAAAAAGGTTGCTCCGGCATGACCTCACACACTTTTTCGGCTGTTCGCATGTTCCCGACGACATGGCGGCCGGTCGGGTACCATGGCCGTGTCGGTGCTGGTGCTGGAAGTGGTGAATCCACCAGCCGTCTCTCCCGCCGTCCGAAGATCGGGGTCCGAAGATCAGGACTTTTCAATGCAAACATCCACCCTAGAGGTCCATGAGCTCATGTACTTAAGGACGTTGGTCAGGACTTAAAGGTACTGTACTTAAGGACTTAAGGAGGTGAAAGACCAGGCTTTACATGGTTTTACTGGATCTCGGGACTTGTAGGGGTTGGCTGTCTTGCAATCCGACGGGCAGCCGCGAGGCCTTTGGTGCCTCTATCAGTCGATCAAAGCAAAGTTGTGTATCGGGATGTCAACCTGTCACTATAGATGGAAAACAGAAAACAATAACAATAACAATAAAACACAAACACAAGTTCTGAACCCTTACAGTACTCGGATATTTTTTGCCAATTTACCAGCACCGGCTCGCGCTGGCTGCACGATGTTCATGTGGCGCCTCAGGTTTCCCAATGACCTGGCCCTCCACCAGCTTTGCCATGGTCTGCCCTAAAGCCACCGCTTTCCGTTCCTCAGATCAGCCAAGAACAAGAACAGTGGAAACCTGAATGAAGGGGAAACCCATGGGAGGTTCTTTGGAGGATTTCACGCAGTTCCCATTCAGAAGGTTTGACATGTTTAAGGCCTGTGCCACTTTGACTCCCTCTTACGGCCCTCTTAGGCCTGTGCCAAGGAGAACACATACTTGCTCCAGAATCACTATTTGTGCAACACCCCCCAACCCGCCGCAACTTCCCGGTACACCGCACCCTGGTGGCACCTTCGCTTTCGCTATGTCTCCGATGTCTTCGCTTCGGTCCGGTTCGTTCGTCGGTTCGGCGTCGTAGCGAGCGTCGATCTTGGCGGCGCCCGTGGTGAGTTGCACGAAGTCCGTGAAGGCCATGGCCTCGGACGCTGCCGGAGAACGCGACGAAGGCTCCGTGAAATGAAGATCATGAAGAGGAAGAACACTTGGGGAGTCAGACTTGCTTTGGATGTGCTGTTCTAAGTTTTCAGGTATTTGGGTGTGAAGATGTTTGAAGAAGAAGCTTAGCCCCATGTATGGGTGAAAAGGAAGTTTCCTTTCTCAGCATGGACAGGGGATGGTGGCGTGGAATGCAGTGTGAGATGTAACTTGAGGTCACCAGCCGCCAACTCTTCGTCAACAATCCAACCACTCCTATGGGACTGAAAGATATGCCCCGGCCCCAGCAAGACCCCTGGTCAATCAACCACCTCTCACACATAAACAAGATGTGCCAATCCCATGGATGGTCCGGGAAAGGATCCGACCCCCCTGGCTGCCTGGCCGCTCACCTTCAACGACGGCGGGTCCCGGGTCCGCGCGGTCGCACGCGCCTGGGCAGCGCTGGCCAAGAAGACGGACTCATCCAAGGCATTGCGCCTCGTGGGAAAAAGGGAGGAGTGACATCGGTCGGGAGCGAATCTTCTCACCCAAAAGTCCCAGGAGTTACAAGAGATCGTGTTTAGATGTGTTTAGTCCCATCCAGCCACGGATGTGATAGGAGCGACCCCGTCGAACGTCACTGCTGGACTGTCTTTCAATGGATTTTCCCGAAGAAGCCTCCCTAAGGATCCTCCCTGGCCCTCCATGGGGTCGGACCCTCCATAGCAAGGGTACAGACATTCCAAAAAAAGACCTCTATATTTGAGGGCCCGGATTCTTAGGGTTGGAGGCCTTGCGCGGCCATATCAAGATAGATCAACTATTCTTGGAGAGATGTTCGTGCTGGAGAGATGTGGAAGACATCCTGCTCAATGCACATGTTTGATGAGTTTGATGTGTTTCATTTCCTTGCATCCACGTCTTGGAGGCCATTTAAATTTACCCACGACCGAGTTCCAATGCCCAAAACCTGTTACTCCCTACATCCGAGTTCGTGTTTCTTAGGATCTAATCCAAAACCCACTCACGGAACATCATCAATAATCCTTCAACCATGCATTAATTACTCCACTTCCAACTGCTCCCCATTGAGTCCAAGCCCCACTTGAACATGACCCCTGCCCCGCCCACTTGCTGCACCCCAGCTGCGCGGGTTCCAAGGTTGGCAAGCCCAGTTCCTCCTCCCCTGTGACGCTCTGCCGCCGGTGCCCCACGCTGCCCTCGGAGGAGGGCTTGCGCTCGGACGTGTCCTGCACCGCAGCTCGGACGCCACGGTCTCTGCGCGGAAGTTCGGTGGTCAAGGTTAAACCCCAAACACTCCATGGGACTGGACTATTTGCCGATCAGTTGGGGTGGTGCCAGGGGGGTCAATATCTGCATATCTATTATCGAAAAAAAGGCAAGACGTTCTGCAAAGGATCCTCTACTATATAGGTATATATGCCATACTATGCATGGAGTGCCTGGGAAAAGTTCCCAAGCCAAGGGTTCCAAATCATGCGATCGATCGATTTTGGACTTAGCTCTGCGCAGGGAAGACCTCTCCCAAATTCAGGAAGATTCCCATCCATTCTATGCCGAACCCCTAAAAGATTCTTCGCCATGACTTGCCGCTGGATCAAGGGGCAAGTCATGGGCCACAAAAGCCTTTCCAGCTGGTGAATTCTTGGAAAGTCTCACCAGCTCCCATCCAAACCCTTCGGTCATCGGTTTCGCGACATCAGGCATTGAGAGGTCCACCGAACCTTTTAACTCACCGAACATGAAGAGAATCAATATCTCATTGACACTCTCATTATCATTGACTCCTTTTTCAATCCCTTTCAAGTTGAAGTTTCAACCACGTTCGGCCCACACACCCCTGCGAAGGTGTCGGGTCCGACCCCTGCCATGGAGGGCCCGTGCGGATTCTTAGGGATGTATATTTACAATATCGCATGGAGTGTTTGGGCATCCGTTCCAGATACCCTGGGATGTCCTGCAGGCGTTCCTCCAGTTCTTCCAACTGCTCCTGTCACAAAAATCGAAACATGACGGACATGACACGCCGCGAAGTTGGACACTTACCTTAAGACTTGAATTAACGCGCACATTAATTTAGATGTCTAGGTTCTTCCTGTTACACAATCCCACGCAGCTTTGACCCTCGGGTAGTCCAAGTTTGGTGCCCCCGCATCAGTGTTTCTCATGGGAGTTCCACACAGGTCAACCAGGACCATGTGACCATCTGGGTGTATTGGCTGGACGACCCGCCGCTTGGATACATTTGCTTCTTCGGAACCGGAAAAAACATTTAATATACAATGCTTAAGGGAAATAAAGATCACCCGAGCCAGGAATGAGCCTTGTTGAAATATAGCAAGCATACCGCATTTGTAGAACTTGGCCTCAGAAATGCTCCCGGATCCTCATCCAGCAGCCGGAAGGCTCCTATAGCAAGAAAACCAACACCCTTGTATGCTAAAAGGGTTCCAACAAGGTGTAGGCAACCAAAAACGACATGTCATTAACCACGCGAACACTATGTCCAACATAAGTGAGGCCTTCCGTAGGTCGACCCAAGTGGCAGCATATATATATATATAACATATATACATAGATATATTGCATATCTACATCCATATTACGTATGACTAAAAGGGATCATCGATCTGTCTATCACTTCATCCGAAGACAAGTTCCCGACGTCTCCCAGGAAGTTGAAGGGGGCGGACATGTTCCTAACCGAAGTTGGACAGTCTCTGCAACTTTGGAAGCACAGTTGGCACATTAGCAGCTCACCCAACTGATCAAACCTGAAACGACTGGAAAAATAAAATTTTTTAAGCGCTTGGGGATTTAATGTCATTTTTGCGCCGGCATGGTGAACAGTGTTGCCAATGCGTCTGCACGATCCTCGCTGAGCCTTTTTCGCCCGTAGAAAGGTTGAGGCATTTAGAAACCTAAAGGCAGATCCCTATCTCTCATTCATATCATTCATACAAACTATCCGTTTGTCAACGACACTCTTCGCATCGCCCACCCAAAAGCATGCAACTAATGCAAAAAAAACTCTACTGCGAGTGATCCCCACCATGACATTTCAATTATTGTCTTCATGCCATGGTGAGGAGCATGTTGCCATGGTCGTGAGTTTTGTGGTTCTCGATTTTGTTTGTGGGTCCTCGGGTTGTGTGCTGTGATTGTGGTTGTGTGCTGTGGCTGTGTGTGTTGTGGTTGTGTGTTTGTCGTTGTGTGTTTGTGGTTGTGTGTTGGTTATGTTTGTGATTGTGGTTGTGTGTTTGTGATGTTTGTGTGTTTGTGGTTGTGTGTTTGTGGTAGTGTTTGTGGCTGGCGGGGAAAAGGCAAGAAACACTACAGTGGCTTATTGAGACTACATGGCACTGGCACCCCTACATGTCTCTTATTATGTAGATGGGGATCCAAACCAAAGCCACCCAACTTGGACATGTGTGCCATCTACAACGATGCAAAGAAGCGTTGGGGGGGCCCACCCCTTCAACAGCTCAGACCAGTCCTGAAGCTCTCTTTCTTCGAAGGTGACCAGCCTAGGGCGGCGGCCGATGGCCATTCCAACCGATTGGGCCAGTGGTTTCACAAGGATTTGTGGAAATTACGGAAGTAGTTAGTTCCCCTTATAAGGGCGCAAGGAAGGTTCCAAGCCAGGCCATTTCAACAATGCATATTGCCTGGGACAGGGACTCCCAAACGCCAATCTCTTTTCTCACAGCGGGTGAGTGCTTCCGACTGCGTTGGGGACAGGGGGAAGGAGAGGGTCAAAGTTCACTTTGAAGAGGCTAAGATGAACACTGAACACGGCAGCCCAAATAAACATGTCTTGGAATTGTTACCAAACAATTACTAAGTTCATTTCTCAACTAGTTACAATTGTCAAACTACTTTGAGCTCGCACGGTGTTGCACCCCCATGCCCTCTGAAACAGCTGATCGACATCAAAGGACATACTATGACTTACAAACTGTTGATTAATAAACCTGCACCAAACATGGATTGTAGAATCTCTTCACATGGGACGCGCACGAATCCCTGAATCCGCAAAGGTCAGTCACAACACCCCCTGGTCTGTATTAGACGGGTTGTATTTGTGTAGAAGCTATACATCATTCTATTTCTGTGCAAATGCCGCTGGTGATTCACATGTGTATTTCTATACAAGGAGAACATTGATGTACATATGCTTCCACTCCCGACAAGCCCTGTGACTGTGCAAACCATCCTGCTCTGCTGAAGAAGAGCTGAGCACTGGGAATATGACAAGCTCGTACAGGGTTCGTGGGCGGCGGCTCATCCGCGCACACGGATTTGACTCATCTGCGCACACACATTTTGTTAGCACTTGCGCCTCATCTGCGCACACAGTTGTTGACTCATGCGCGCACACTGTCCATCGGGGAGACTCAAGTGCGCACACAGGCCCTTTCCCGCATGTTTGCTGACTTAAAAGGGTCGTCAAGATGGAATGGCCACTTCCTCCTCTAAATTTTACATGGGGCCTCCCATCTGGGGCCCTGGGGTGGATGGGGCCCCGGAATATGTTTTTTATGATTCCGGGGTGTAGGACCTAATGGTTGCCAAAAAATTATTCCATATGTGAAGAGTTGTCAGAATAGTTTAAAGCAACTCCGGCAAATACCATAAAAAAATCCGATCACCAACGCACGTCTGCTTCGCACTGATGTTTTTCACTCTGACGCGGCTCAATGAATTTCCTCTTGAGATTTAATTCGTGAACATTGCATCCGACATATATATATATATATTTGAAGGATCTGCCAACAAAAAAGTATGAATTTGCGAAATATCCTTTCAACTTCCTATTGCCAATGCTTGTACAATCTTCAACTCCCAAACTCACAAATATTCTGCTATACAGAAGATGTGAATCGCCTGAGAATAGAAACCTGAATTACCAATCGCACATCTTTGACATACTATAGCCAGTATTGCAGAGCATTCAAAGAAAAATATTTTGTACACCGCACGATGTGAATCACCCTGGAATAAAAGTGGAAACTGCAGTTAGTAGTCAAAAATGTTTGACATTTTTCAGCGCCCCACACACAAGACATAAATTATTCTGGGCACAGGGACATGAAAAATGTACAAGATTAGTTACTTTTGCGACACGCAGTATTCCTTCACTGGCAATACCGGACGGCCCTCATATAGCGTGAGCACCGACCAAATATTATTCCAGGGTACCTTCACATTCGACCAAATATTATTCCAGGGTACCTTCACATTCGACCAAATATTATTCCACGGTACCATCGACCCACACCAACACCAACATGTTGTTTTTAATAATCCGAAAAAACTTATTCTGAAAAATTATTCCTGGAGGTGACCCCACCCTGGAATAGTTTACGACGGGAGGGCCCATAATTTTACCCTCCAGTGGCTCACCAAAGGGTGAGTCAACTTCGAATGACCACTCCCTTCTCTAAATTTTACCCCTGCCTACCCCACAAAAGGGTGCTTCAAGTTGAAATGGCAACATCCTTCTCTAAATGTTACCCTCGGGTGGCTCACCAAAGGGTGAGTCAACTTGGAATAGCAACATGCTTCTCTAAATTTTACCCCTGCATGGCTCACAAAAGGGTGAGTCAAGTTGAAATGACAACATCCTTCTCTAAATT